CACACATTGGACTCTCTTCTTTTCCACTTCCATATGCCTTGTAGCACATAGGTCGAGGACATCAATCATTTTCACACTTGTATATCTTTGCGTTGGCATATACTAGCTTGATGGTAATATTACGTTCTAGCTCATTTTTAAAACGAACAGTCTAGACTCCAGATATGACTTTTACCATTGTTGATTTCCCATGAGCCACATGACCAATGGTGTTAATTGTAGCCTGACTTGTGGAGTAATTTGGCCAATTATATTCCACTTAACTCGTTAATGCAGGATTGAATAAGAAAATTAATAAATTTTCTAGTACGGCAAACATGATAAAGGAAATAGCATATTATACACATTTAAAACCACAATAACTTCACTTGACAAAAAATTCAATCAAACTGATGTTTCGATAAAATTATCAGTTTATTTATACAGATATACCCAGCAAATATGGACTGCGTTTCCAAACGCCAATCGAAATGAACAGTTTGAAGAAATATGGTCGAGAAATTTGTTCACCATTTAGCTGTGCATCTCACTCAGACTTCATTTTCCCAAAACGGGACTAATGGTCTCTTGTTTCCCAAATAGTAAGGGAAATTCATTGTAATGATAGGAGAAACCTTGTTCCTCAGCCATGCTCTTCAGTGATCCATAGACCTGATACATGGACCACCTATCCTTTGGGTGAGAAACCACACAATTACATGAAATTTTTTAAGAACCTTACAATTTCCTCATCATGCCCCTTTCTGTATAGGCGCTTATCGATACCATCTTTAATTCGACCGAAATTAGAGAGCATAATTACCCTGTCGACTAAATTACCCTTAAATCCTTCATCTGCAGTACTCACACCAAGAGGTTTCTGCCCAGTAGCTAACTCAAGCAGCACTACTCCCAAACTATAAGAATCCCCTATAACCTTAGGCGAGAGTGGATGTAGTTTTGTCACATCCAGCTTGCTTAAGTCCTGCTCCATCAAACCTTTTTTAGACATTTTTTTACTGCTCTTAATAGGTCTATGGAAAGAGATTAGTGACGAGCAGCCATCGGGAGGGCGTGGGACGGGCGTTGGGGTGAGGAAAGAGAGAGAGAGAGCGCTAGGGATAGGTGTTACCGTTGCGTGTTATGATCTCCTCCACCAAGTACACCACCACCTCCTGCTCCTCCATCAAGTCCACCCCCAGCTCCTCCTCCCAATCTACTGCCAGCTCCACCTCCCAGTCCTCCACCACCTCTTGCACTTGCGCGGAGCTGAAATCCCCTTTCTCCAGAGCCAAATCAGCTCCAAATAGCAGAGAATCGAGCCCTAGGGATGAGAGGAAGAACAGATTTGAGGTTGAGGTTCACGGATATGGAGGACTCTGGAGTGGGGAGCGTTTCTGAGGATGAGGATTGGGTTTCAATTGGGGGTTGGGAGTTTTAGGACGTATTAATTACGTGGTTAGATGATAAGTTATTAGTTAAACGTATTATTCAACTTCATTAACTTTAGGCCGTACTGGGCCTAATTTCCCCTTTTTGTTTTATATAAAAAAAAAAAAAAAAAATTCTTGTATAATTTTTTTTTTACGTATTAACCCGACCTGTAATCCGATCCTGGATCCGTCACTGCGTGCATAAGGTTGTTGAGGCACAAGTTTTCAACTTGAGAATTTTGAATATAATATTAATTGGAATATTATTCTCCTAAAACATAGTTTAAGAAATGTTGCATTTGTGTATAATTTATTGGTCAAAATTAATGTCTACAATGAAAAATAACTCATAAGTTAAGACTTGCTTATAATTTACTCAAATGATCTTCTTTGCTTTCCTTTTTTAATTCAAATATTTTTTGTTTGATTGTTGAAATAGAATTTTCCTCTACAATTGAGTCTATTTCTTTGTAAATATGTCTTGGCCAAATTGTTGACAGCTCTGCTAACTAGCTAAGAATGTAGTAGAGTCCAAGACAGTAAAATGAAACACAGGAAAGGAAAAGCAGGTGGGAAAAAGTAGAATTAAAGCCACAAAAGCAGAAATAAGAAATGCTAGGAAGCTCATGTAAAATTCTAGACCAAAATATAAGAAAGCCAGCCAGCCAGCCAGCCAGCCAAGTGTCACATCCATTGGTATTGTTTCTCACTAAGAAATAACTACTATATGAGGATGGTGAGTACTCCCTAAGATTACAATTCTATGTGTGTGACACTCATTCAATACCTTCTCTCAATTTTTATGGAATATGAATAAGTTAACATGTTAAAATTCCAAATTAACAAATTCAAGTACTCCTACCCTCACCTCTTTTAAAGAAAAAAAAAATTCATGTCCAATATCTTGATAAAAATATCTATTGTGCACGTATTAGAGGGTGTCAACTACTTATTTATTTAAAACTTTTAAACTTAGGCCAATATGCTCTAAAATAAAATAGTTCTAATGGACAACACTGAAAACAAGTAACTACTTATTTTAAAAATAACATCGATTTTACCTTAATGAAATTATTCTGTACAAATAAGAATATTAAATTATGAAAAAAAATATTAAGGATCTTGCTAAATATATATAAAAGTTTACATAAGAGATTATATAATATTACATGACACTCTATCATTTGTCAGTTTAAAACATAGACAACTTTTTCATCCAATTTTTTCTTTACACATCATTTTATATAATCTCTTATATACCTTTTTTTTTTTTTGTATATATACAAGTAACACAATCCAAATATTAATTGGAACATTTTACTTTGTAATGGAATCTAGTGATAGTTTAGAATAAGGAATGATAGCAAAAAACTCCTTAAAAATGTTTTCATGTACGACATATCCCACATATATTGGAAATCATAGACACCCTTCGTTTGAAACCTTTTGTGGGAAATGCTCATGCCATCAATTTCTGTCGGATTTGCCATTAAAAATAGTAAAAAAAAAAAAAAAAAATTGCAGTTGTAGTTCCCCAAACTTTATTTTTTTTACAAATTATACCTAACTTTTTTATAAGTATCACTCATAATCCCAAATCTTTAAAACTATATTTTCTACCCCACCCCACTTCATCTTTTTCCCCTCACCATCAACCATATCCATACCAGCATGGGTAGCAAGATTGCTCCGCAATTATTTCAAAGTTCATTGAAAAAAAAAAAATTTAGCCCAGCCTAAAATATTTCCTGGCTCCGCCCCTGGTTCCTCGAGGTGGAAGCCATATGGCTGGTCATTTTGGATTATAACCAGGAAGACGTAGGAGCTGATTGATTTTCACCGAAAGTTGTTGGAGCTCAGACCAGTATTTGGGATATCCAATTTGGCGAAATAATCACTTCTTTGCGCAGGCAAATGTTGGAATGAAAGTGTTTTTCCCTCCTTTATTCCCTATTTTGGGTTAAATTATCTGTCACGTCACTTAAATCAAATTGTCATGTAAAATACCTGTGAATCATGTAAAATACCTGTGAACATACATATAGATTTTTCTATTTTCTCGTTCTAAATGTATGTTGTAGGCTGTATATATGCATTTATACGCTCTAATTCTTTGTTTGTGAAAAGGTGTTCTCTGTTGGTAAAGGGAACAAAAATCTAGGCTTTTCTAAAGGAGAAAACTTTTTTTATTTTTTGATTTTTTTTTTAAATTTTTGGGGAAGAAGATAAAGTGGGGATAAAAAATAAAATTTTAAATATTTGGAATCGTACGTGGCACATATAAAAAAAATTGAATTTAATTTGTAAAAAAAAATAAAAATTTTGAGTAATGAAATTGTAATTATTATTTTTTAATTTACTGTTTTTAACGGCAAATTTGATGAATCTTGATGACGGGAGTATTTTTTGCCTAAAATATTTCAAAGAGAGGGATTTTCTGCAATTTCCAATAGGTAGGGATATATCACACATGGAAACGTTTCTAAGGAAATTTTTTGCTATTAATCTAGTTTTGCTTTTAAACGAATAAGTTGTCATCACAAGTAAATAAACACTCAATATTGACAATAAAATTTCCTGATAACTTTCATATTTAATAATAAATAATAATATGAAGATCATAGTTTTGATTAATGTACATTTTGATAATTGCATACAAGAATAACAATAAATCACCTATTTTTGTTTTTTACCAAAAGCTCAAATGCTTATTTTGATAAATATGCAATTTTGAAATAAAAGTTAATTTACAAATTATTATCTTATTTTCATTCATTGAAAATTAAAATACTTTGAATACATTTAATTGTAGAGACGGGTTTGACTCTTTATTTTAAAAAGTCAACTATTAAAATTATGTTTAAAGAGACTCTTCAAATTAACATTTTAAAATAGATAGTGTTTTTAACTCTTTAAATTTCAAATTATTTCAACTTTCAATTGATGAAAATAATGCAATAATTTGGAAAGAAGCTAATGAAAATAAATGATAGAGAAAGAAAATTAATATTTTTTAGAGTAACAAAATTAATTGTTAAAGATCATAAAGAGTCTGTCAGGGCATTGAAAATTTTTTACTCTCTAAATTTATAAATATTCAATAAATTGTAAAATTTAAAATAAAGAGTATCTTGGTGATGGTCTAAAACGTTAGAGACACTTGGTTAGCTTATAATTATTTTCTACTTCAATTGCTTGACCTATTTTTCTCCTCTCAATTACAATAGTTAAAAGTTGGACTCAAGAGATGGACATCGGTTGTGGTGGTGAACCCACTTTTTGAGGATGGACCTTTCTAGGCTTCATTTGAAAATTATTTTACAAAGGCGTTTAGACAACTTTTTAGTGACAACGTCAACACTTACCCTTTTTCCACTAATACTAGTTGTACGCCCGTACAATGTACGGACTTTGATATTTTTAAGTTAATATTAGTGTATCATAGTAATGGTATTGTGTAAGGTCAGTAATTTTTTATCTAATAAAATTTAATAATGAAAAATATTATTTGATAATCCTTGAGTTCTGAGCTTCAGTTGATAATGTTGATTTCTACATAAATGGAAAAGAGTTTCTATTATCTGTATACAAATTAGTGATCCACTTTATTTGATGACGATAATAGATAAAAAGTATAAAGATGAAAAAATTTACAAGTATACTCATTTGTATATTAGTCTTTGCAAGTATTATAGGGAGAAGTGAAAGAGGGTGTTACCAAAAGTAATCGACTAAGGCATCATTGGTTTTATAACTGAAATATTACTTTAAGGAACAAAAAGTACTACATATGAATGGTAAAAGAATACGTAATTTTAGCCTGCTATGATCCCGAACAATTTTGATCATGAGTATGTGCTCCTTGTCATTAAGAAGAACATATGTCTCAATGTTGGTCATGCTAGAAATTTCCGAATTAAATTCACAAAAACATTTGAAATTTACAAGCACATATGGTAATGATTGAACAAAAAAATACTTTGCTAGTTTACAAGCACATATGGTGCAAGCCTCTAGTTACTATAGATAAGAAAACAAAAAATAAGGATTAGAAGAAAGATAACATTGACAGCAGTAGATTAATTAAAAGCTATGAAAATTACAAATTAATGAGAATAACTCTCCAAATCAAAGTTCATACTCATTCTAGACCAATAATGAGCAGACAGATCAAATACATATCTACAACACATACTCTTGGAGAATTTCTTCAAGATACTCGTGCATCAACTTAAGTATTATTAAGGATAGCAGAAAGCATTTATAACGCTTGCACATTAACTTTCATGCCAAAATTCGTACATTAATATTCATTAATTAGAGCAGAAATTTTCCACTGATGTTAGAAGAATTTTAAAAAATATTTTCCTTCCTTTTTCCTTTATTAAGATCCATTAACCTAGTTTTATTATGTTAAATGTAGTAGGTTAGCTCTTGCGATTTAACAATTCTTATGTGCTTTGTGGGATCCTAGCAATTCATGCATATTCCTGCTGGTTAGCTTTTCGTGTTAGGAATCATATTACCAGAGAAATTGTAAGATAGCTTTCTTGTGTTAAGATCTATAGAAAAGCTTTAC